ATTGAAAGAATTGTTTCAAAAATTGAATTTATTAGATTTATGACGATATGAAGTATATCTTATCACAGGAATGAGGTGTAAGATCAGTGAAAAGCAGTTCGAAATTTGAATGTTGAGGTGAACGTGACTGGTTTCGCTAAATGATCACATTTCTGAGTGTTGCAGTAAATATTCACTAAGAATGTCTATTTAGTTGCTTAGATGAGACAGCCATAAATAATATTTTGACGGATGATCTAAGCAGAGGTATATATCAAAGTAAAAGTGTTACTCTAATATATGAGGTGTTATGTTACAAATTGCTGTCGTTGAATGATAGGTATTTTATTATTGTATATATGAGACTGGAAAGAATAAATGCTGCTGCTGTTGCTGCATATATTCCAGATGAACAACATTTAAATCATTCCTCACCGAATGTCATTATTCCACTCTACGTTTTGCACTTTTCCATCTTCAATCACACTTGTCTTCTTTAAACGTTTCTCGTTTTATCTGCAGCAAACCTTCAAATTCAGCCTGAAATCGTCATTCATTTCCCTTTAGGACAACACCACAGAATTATCATATCAAAATGCTAGTAGGCTTAAGGCATATTTTAACATCAAATGATATTTTGATATCATATCAAAATGCTAGTAGGCTTAAAAAACTGACCTTTAAAAACTGCATTCAATTTACGTTTAATAATTCGTTAATTCATCAATAATTCCACACTATCCCTTTCAGCAATGTAGTTTGATTGACTTTCAAATGTTTTTTGGTTGTATTTAATTGCTTTATGTGATGAGGTGAACGTTTGAAGTGGCAGTTAGGACGAAACTTTAAAAACTGTGCGTTGTTCTTATCAGTTGCGAGATTGTTCTTATCACTGCGAAGATAAGATCTCGAATTAGTGGCGAATGATGTATGGCGAAAGGCGGTAGATATAGTAATTAGCTGCAGGTTGTAATCAGCGAGTGAATTAGTATTGTTCAACAAATATACCTCATTATTTATCTGTTCAACACATTCCCTGCCTCATTATACTACTGCATTACAATTACACAATCACATCCAATTCGCCGTTCTCTTATGATATGTGACATTATGCAATATGTCAACATACTGCATTACTACCTAAAGCTCTTGTTATATACTGTACAGTTGTGCCATCTTCATATATTTAAAAATTGTGATGCTCAGAGAGTGCACAAGTTTACCTGTGTACCTCACTGACTGATCTAGTTCATTTTCGAAATTTGTGAATGCTGCTGCAACTTGCTTGATTGTTGTACACACTGCCGCTGTTGTTGCACTTTGCTTTATTGCTTCATTTCTTCACCTTAGATTATTTGCCCTTTCATATCTGGTTGTTAATATTATTACTGTTATTGTTATTATTAAGATTATTTTTATTTTCTTAATGTGTGTCAGCAAGTATCCTATCTATCTATCATTATTGCACACAAACAGTAGCAGTAAGAACTCATCAACAACAGTCACGATGAGTGTTCAATGATAGATAAATAGATAGATAGAAATATTTCGAACTTACCTAGCAGTTACTAGTAGTAGTAGTAGTTCGTTTACCTGTGCCCTATTCAATTACCTGTTGAGTTGTATGTATTGTTGTATCACGGCTGTCGTGAAGCGAATATGCAGTATTGCATAGTTACAGTTTTACTGCTTTAATTTCACGAAGAAACGCAAATATTACTCGAATATTAAATAACGAAGACAAGATGAGTCGTACTTGGTTTGGCGTTTGAGAGCACTTCTATTATTGTTGTTGCGAAAGCAAGCTTCGTATTGCTTGTCTTTTTTCGTTTTATTCATTCATTTATTCACTTTTATCATTTTTTGGTTGAAGAGAATAGCTCTTAGATGACATTTATTTCAAAGCAATCCATTAGCGTCAAAGAATTACTACTACTCGTTTCCGGGTGTTAATTGGAGGTTTTTGCTCTCCGTGTCATTCGGTTTTAATGTGCCAATCAAGAATCACATTTGTGCTGCTCATTTCTACGCGGTTTTCATTCCGGAATTTCAAATGGATCAGTGGAAATATGGATCCTGTAAACTCGAAATATAATGTCAAAGCATTTGAGATCTTCCACGAGATTTCATCAGTAAGTCGCCAATAATTTTCATCAATAGCGTATAATTTTTGCTGGTGATACCTCTGCTAGTGACGTCCAGCTATCTGAGATAAAGGTCCAGCTAATTCTGTCCGATCCGAACGATTACTGTGGATCGCATGATCTGCCGATTTAATCATGAATTTTATCGTCGATTTTACGTGTTGTGTGTGTGTATTTGAGTAGGGCGCAAATAACTTTATCGATATTACGATGGTGCAGTTGAAGAAGTGCGTTGTTTTATGAAACAACTATGGATTGTGATTCAAATTGACGTGTTGATTGAATTTCAGCTCTAGTAATTCAGTAACGCACCATTACAACTCAGCAACAACAGCTCTGCAAACGCAACAACAGCCTGTGATTATTGTTGTTAATAATCCTTGAATATCACACTAATAATAATTCTGCTAGTGTTTCTATAATTGATAACGAAACGCAGTCAGCATTCCAATTGAAGGGCGACCGCGCACGTCGTGGTTGCTATTATCCAAGTGATAATTGCTATTCATCAAATTTTGACGAGTCACCAAACCGTTACAGTACCACCCAACAACCGTCATACTCTGTATGCACTGTGTTGTCAACTCGGCTGTCCCCCTCAATCTCTAGTTCTGCCTCATTAATTCTACCGTACTCATCCCCACCGTCTTCCACCACTACCAGCACTGTCGCTCCTCCTCACTCTCTTCGTCCCCGTGCTCTTTCTCTCCCAGAGCACTCTCAACCAATCAGCTTTGAGATTCGGTGAGTCGATTTCTTTTCGTTTCCTTCTCTTCTCTCTACAGTAACCGTTTTGTACGCGTTCATAATTGTACTGTTATCGAAATATCGCGAAACCGAAAAGCTAACAATTGCAATAAATCAGAATTCATTTCAATTTCAATATTTTATATGGTCCGTCGTTTCCTATTCCTGCGCTCACATGAAATATCAACTGGATATTATTAATACCATTCAAAATTATCGTCGCTGTTTCAAGTGAAACGTAATTGCGCAATAAGTGAACGATCGAGCAAGCGAGCGGATGTTCATTTGTGTGTGTGTCCAACCATGCTTGTATATGTTTATATCAAACTTGCTTGTACTTTCGTTTTTGGCATTACATTCATAAACAACATTGAAAAATGCGCACTTTTTCGCGTTTTGCTTACCGAAAAGTACAGCCAGCTTTGCAGAAAAAGTAGTGAATGATTTTATTGAAGGAAGTGAATAGGAAGATAAATCTGACTTTGGCCTCCTCTTATTTTGCGCATTGATCGTCAATTGATCAGTTTGTGAAACTTACTTCCCACTTTGAATTATGATTTTTTCGTGTTTCGCTGATTAACTTTTGTTTTTGTCATTTTTAAAAGAATGACTCGAATGAATAATTTGCGAATACAAAAGCGATGAAAATTCATGGAACTTCTTTTGGTCTCTGATGAAATCGCTTAACCTCGGATTTTTAGTTTGTTCTCTTACTGATTTCTCATCCACTTGCTATTTATGTATGTTACTGATATGAAGTGTTGTGATCTGTTATGTGTCCAAGCAAGCATCGATCACTGAAGTTTTTGAAATGACTTCATGAACTTTTTTTCACAGTCAGCGAATTTCCAGTGATGAATTCAACAGTTTGTTCAACTTGAACGAGTTTTGCGGAATCCAGTTATAGTGAGATTTTCAAGCAAATTTTCAACTGAAACTGAAAAAATTTGATATCGTTTGAATTGATTTCATTCGAATTGTGTTCTTGTTTAAATGTTCGCTTGTGTACGATGAACGCTTAGTATCATAGCGTTCTTCTTACATTCACTGCTCGTCTTTAAGTTTTTACGAACTTCACTCATTTCGTTCAAAAAGTAATAAATCTCGCGTAACTTTGCAATAAATCATATGTGAAAGGTCATCATTTCCGGTTGTTCCTCTTGTTAAAAGATATTTGTGAATTGATTTGAAGTTTCTTTCTTTCGCTGAAGAAGAACAAGAAGAGCAATCATAAAAAGAAGTAATCACTGGAAACAAGAACGTATCGATACTGTTAGTGAAGGGCGGCGGTCATTATTCTCGTTTCTTTTGAACACTTTGATGACTTAATTGATTTCAAATTCATTACAAGTGATCGATTGAGTACAACCGATCAGCGTCGAATAACGCAACATCCTTTGCTGCTATCACTATCGTTCATTCGTTTCCTTCATTTTTTGTTTCCGTGCGTCAAAATTTATCTCTTCAAGAAAGCGAATCTGCTCGATATACATACTGCTTTCTATTGAGGAGCAAAAAAGATTCTGAACTATCGGAAAGGAATTGAAATGAAAGCAGATTCATTCATCTTTGGTCATAATATTTATTTTGTTTGATTATAGTTGTTTGCAAATGAATAGATTCTGTAGTTTTCATTGGTTGTTTTTGTGTTATCGTGAATATTCAAGGCAATTCTGAATGTTCTTTTTTTGCTGATAAAAATGAGGAAATGCGATTTATAAATATTCCAGTCTTACGACTGTTTGTGAATGCACACACATCATAAAGCATTAAAGGGCTCTTCATGAATAAGCGCTGAAAATGACATGGCTAAAAACTATATGCTGATTATGTTCTTTGATTGATCGTAAATAAAATAGACGTACGTGTTCAAGACGAATTATTACTATTGCTTCTTGCATTGTGTCTATTCGATGCTTCCAATTTGTATGGCCTAATGTATGATCATTCGCTCGTATTTGCTATCGATTTTTACACAAAATCAGCCGACCAAAATATTTTGTCTATCTTCAAGGAACATTTATCTGAATATTTTCTTACGGGTGGTTTTTGAGAAAAAGGAATGAATGAAATATTTTTCGTTGTTTAAGTGAGTGTTGTGGTGGTGACGATGATCAGGGTGTATCAGATATGCAAATTGAATCCACAATCTGTCAGTCGAAACGAAAACAGCAACAACACCAAACGGCAACCGTATACAACGATCAAAAATCACAAGCCTCGTCATCGCGATCAGTTTTTAACTGTTTCAAAACAGCGACGAATAATATCACAAAGTTAGTTGTTGTGTTTGTTGTTTTTTAGTGAAAATATTAGATCCGTCTTAATCGCGGACGGCAATCAGGAAACTGATTTCCAAATTGGAGAAATCTCCGAATTGTTTTTTGGGATCTCCCCTTTTCTGCCACTGAACGTTGTGAAAGAGTGGTCATCAGAGAAATGAGATTGTCTGCATCTGCGTAATCGCTTTATTAACTGACGGAATTAAATAGGAAATTGTGAAAGTTAAAAANAAAAAGTGGGTAGTTCCAACGGGACAGCATAGATTCTTTCGTGATTGGCGGTCGAGATAGGGAGGGGGAGATTAGAAAGTGATCAGTATAAGAGGCAGTCTGGATCGCGGATCGGGAAATTCTGAGAGCAAGAAGATTGCAAAGTTGAGGCAGAACGAACGTCTGATTCAAAGATTTCGATATGTTCTAGAATGTCGAGAACAGGATTCGCGGATACAAAGTATGTGCTGCAAGTGCGTGCAAAACGATCGCTCAGATCGTTTAAGCCGTGTGCAGTGCTATGCAAATCCTCATATGAAGCCACCTCATCGAGACTATTCGACATTTCATTGATGCCGAATAGAACGTTCGCGTGGCTTATATTGCTCGCATTCTTTATTCATTATCTACCTCACGTGACCTCATTATCAAATCAATGTTAGTTTTGGCTGTATCTTTGATTACCGATCACCTCACTTATCACCGATTCATTTCATTCGCTCTAGTGCTGTCACTTTTGGTAGCATTTTTGTGGTTATTTCTGATTGTTTGATAAATACACTTTCAAAGTAACACTTTCAATAATTATAAGTTTATAAGAGCAACGTTGTTAGTCAATAATAATATCGCATGATCATAGCTATTATTGCATATTGATTAGTTTTGAAACTCAGTTTTTGAAACTCATCAGTTTACTCTCACTGCAAGAGAGAGTTGTTCTGAAATTTTATTCGGAATGAGCGATTAATTCTGATGAATGAAACGAGACTGAATATTATATCAATGTGTTGCAAAGAATTTGAGATGTCAAGATTGATTCAAGGAATGAGTCAGGTGAAATAAAATGCAATAAATTTCAGCAAAAAACGGGTATTTGTCGGTGATTGAAAAATCGCCATTGTTCAATGTGCATAGTCAGGTTCAGAAGCGTAGTGACGTTGTTATAAGTGATAATCAACATAATTCAATTGTAAATTCATCGTTATTATCATTGAACAAACGGAACAATATTATCAGTAATGATAATAGTAATAATAATAATAANTCGTTTGCGATTGCTTTGAATTCTTTGTTGTTATTGCTCTTATTTGTTAAGGTGTTTGTTAGTGGATTAACAGATTCAGACGGTAATAATACTTTAGTAGGTGGTATCGAAAATGATAATGGGTGTTGGTTTTGGTAGTAATTATAAATTTGTACTGTTCTTTGGTAATAATTAACATAATGATGACAATAGTGAGTAATATGAGCATTCTGATCCTGATCACAGTAGTAATGGTTAGGCTGACGATAACAGAGATTAAGAAATAATGACAGACAGTAAAAATAATCACAAGGATAGTGATAAGAGCATGAAGAGTTTGCATTTTAGAGCTCGATTACGTTATGATAATCAACAGGATCGTAGTGACCAGCAGATGGTCGTATTTGCATTTACGGCGACACTTAATAACGCTGGACAGCAGTCGTTGATACTGGCCGATAGATTCAACGAGATATCGTTGGATGGGAATGATGTGCTGAAGTTGAATTGTTTGGCGAGATTGTTCGGAATTGGTGATGATTTGGAAGTGGAGTGGTGGAAGGACGGTCACTTCATACCGAATTCAAATGGTACACTCATCATTAGCAATGCGAATAGTGATGAGCATTTGGTAGGTTATTGTTGGCTGTTTGTATCGTTGATTAATTAAATGTATCGATGCAACGTTCGGACAATAGCCGGGCGATGTGATCATATCTGGGATGCATACAGTGCGATAGGATTTTCGGATAGCATGCAAAAGATAGCCGAAAATCTATTTGCAGGGCACATATCGGTGTGTGGCTGAAGTGGCAACATTTTCAACAGATTTATTTTCGTCATATTTCATTAATCGAATCAAAAGATCCTCAGATATGCCATCTGGAAAGGTGTTGAGTAATGCCATCATCATCAAACATGCTGAAAGTGCTATGTTTATTTCACATCCACAAAGGTTATTTATCAGTCTTATTGTTATACTTATTGTTGTTATTATTGAGGTTGCTTTGTTATTATGTTTAGTTTTGTTTTTTCAATTTTTATTTGATATTGGTTTTTCATCACTGATTTATTATTCATCACTGATTTGTGATGAGTTACTTTTATGTCACAATCGAGTAGTATTGTTTTTATTTTGTTTACTATTATTTCCAACCGCATTCTTCGTTTCTCATTATACGTTTGTGATGAGAATTATGCATCAATCTGTTTTTACTTGTGATAGTAAGTACCGATGGCATTTTTCGAGCGAATAATGAAGCAAGCAGCAAGAATCATTATCGTTGCTGTTGTATGATTATTTTTGTTCTTATAGCATCAATCATTTATTCGATTTTTTTTTGGTTATTTCGGTATTTATTTGCTGTTGGGTGAGTACGCATAGAATTACGTTTAACGATAAAAAACAAAAAATTGTTATGCATCTCAAAGAAGTGTTGTGAGATGGGTAATCTTATATGCACAAGAACTTAATTCGATCTGTTAATAAGAAAAAATCTAAGAGTGCCATCCAGTATCATGCATGCTTTATCTGATGCTTCTCAATTGCTTTGGTACCATTTAGTAACATTCCGTACTATGCGGATAGATGTGTGTATTTGTTTGTATATGAAGTGTGGGCACTGGATTGCTCATGAACGGAAATTAAATTCTAATAAAATAAGGCGTTTTCAATGGGACCATTGTCCAAGAACAATAATTGAAAAAATGATTGAGAGATAATTGAAATACAATACATTGTCAAATTGCGAGTGTTGATGCAGTTTCAAGAGTGATACCATAAATCCCCTCTAATTGATCGAATTTGTTCTTTAGCTTTTGCATTTTTGTTTCACATATGAGGAGCTGTTTCATATATATGTGAGAGTTTGATAGCCTGACCAATCCAGGTAATATGAGGAGCTCTGTTGTTGGCATGTATGATTTGTTGCAAACGTCTTTTGATGACAGGAAGCATTTTTGGGGTGGTAATAATAAAATAGCCATGACAATGGTAATACTCTTATCACAGCGATAATAAGAATAATGGAAGTAAGGATCGTGACAATGATAATGCCAAGAAATTTGTGTAAAACAGTAAAGAGACGGATGAATAATCGGATAATAGTTTTAGTGTCACATCACCGGAACATACATCGTTACGATTGGAATGTGCAATTAATAGTGGTATTCGTCCACCACGACATACGCTCAAATGGTACCAAAATGGTACAGCGATCGATNTAATGTATGGATTTGGATTGCGAATTGATGCAATATTTGTTTTCACTTGAATCGAAACGTTATTTTCATCAGACGGTGTGGTGTGCACGACGTTATTTTGCACACACGAATCGAATCATTCGTGCGAAAAATAGATGAACTTAACCGAAAAAGATGTTGTGTATTTGAAAGAACGAGTGAATCAAAAACCGTTGAAAAGACGAAAAAAGAATTCAGTTAATTGGTTCCTGTTTAGCAAAAGTAACAATCCATTCTACTGAATTCCTGTGTAGGGGAGGGGAGGTGTGATGAGAAACGTGAGAGAGTATTCGAAAATGATACAACAACGCTTGTTGTTGTAATGACCTTGTCAAAAAGAATGTAAATTTTTTAAAGGATAACACGGAAAAAGGTGAATGAATGATTAAAAAATAAAATTTTTTGAAAAAATCCATCATTTGGGAATGAACGAAATGGTAATTGATGGACAGCAATTGAAATTTATATGAGAAGTGTGCGAGCGAGTTTGTTTGTTTGTTTGTTTTGGAATGAATCGTTTTTAAGAGAAATGCGCCAATAAATTGTGAATTGATGTGTAGTGAATTCAAAACAATTGAATTGAATGGCATTGATTGTTTACGGAAAAAAAGGGAAAACGTCTTTGCATCGGTATTTTGATGTAATGTGATGTGGTCTCGTTTCCTGCTTCAGTGAGCAGAAAAACGAACGAAAAAAAAANTGATTGATTGATTTCTGAGTTATTGTATTATTGTAGAGGGTTCGGGAGAATTTTGACTCATCATTCGACAACGTTTAACAGCTTCTTCATGCTTTACATTTGTTCTTGTAGTTGTTGAACTTATAATAGGGGACTCAAGTTAAGATATCTGAGTGAAGCTCATTTGCATTAGTGACAGTGAAAACTTTGAACTGAATTAAATACTGGAAGTCAGATTTTGGATTGTAGTTTCTAAATTTGCTGTAGTTTCGTTCATTTACCGTTGTTTTTGTGAATTGCAGTTATACAGTAAGTGGATCATCTTTATTGCATATCGTTGATGCGTATCGCAATGATAGTGGACAATACCATTGTGAGTATGACAGTAATTTGAGAAGTAACACGGCAAATGTCACGGTCGTGGTGTCTGGTCGAAATAGTGAGTTATTTACATGTGCAATTTTGATATATTGATGGTACTCACTTCTTGAATATTATTCTGATAGATTATCAAGATTGTTAGCTCATCACTGAAGTTCATTATAATGTTTATTACCATTTTGTGTCATTGTTTTGTTATGGTCACTCGAATAAGTTTGGCAATGATAATGATAACGATTATATCGTTATTCTGTCAATACATAGTACTGGGTGGATATTGTCAATTTGTTGTACATTGTTGATGAGTGACGGTGGATTTTAGCTGCAGAAGAATCGATTGAAGAAAGTGACGATAAGTTCTTATTGGTGCGACGATTACCTCATGAAACAGTGGTGAATATTGGTGAAAGTATCGTCATTGAATGTTTATTCTATCACCCGTCTGTTGTCATCTCATGGACTGCGATCAACGAGTACGGTCAAACGATTCGTATCAAAGATGGTTGGTGCTCTTGTCATTTTTCGTTTATCAGTCAGTTTGTTGTCATCATCTGCTATTATTAGACATCAGTGGTGTCAGTTGTTATCATTCACTTATCAACTGTTTTATCAAGTTCTTTGGAAATTGCGTTTTAGGTTACTGATGATTACTCGAGATTCACTTGAGTATTTATTCGCAGATTTCTTTTTTGTTATTTGGTTCACTCAGTAGTATATTTATTAATTGTTTATTTCGTAGTTGAGGGATTATTAGAGCGAAAGCAATTTCAGGCTCATGTAGAATATTAGAGGAGTGATATGTTAAGATATGATATCATATCCTATGATATTGTTCCGATTCAATTTCAAAGAGTTGTTTCATTTAGATTCACCGATTTCGAATACCTCCAAAACGGCGATTAAAATCATGAATGCATCCGAGGATATGAGTGGTACTTATACTTGTTATGGTGCATTCGATGGAAGCATCCGACGCTTCTCTACAATACTTACTGTTCGAGGTTTGTTAATAGCAGTTGCGACTCGCCATTTCATATAATCATTATCATCATCAAATCAGTGACAAATTGATCAGATGATCTGAAATCATTTTATGAACTTATAAGATGATTCCAGATCATGATTATGACGTGATAATGTATCACTGCGCAAAAGAAAGCACCAATTTTCATGAATGAATGAAAATTGTCCATTGGAATGCTGCGCTAAGGGTTGAGAGGGAGAAGAAGGGAAGTATGGCGGTAACGTACGCAGTTTGTACCCAGTGGCCATTCAGCTAACTCAAAAATAGTCGTTATTTAGAACGTAACAATCGTTGTTTTAAAGCGTCACTATTTAAAATTCATTACGCAAAGACAGTAATAACCACTGCAAGCAATAACAACAACAGCAACAATGAAAATCAAATCAGCAAAAACATAAAGAAAACGGAACGAAAAGAGATATTTTAACTAATGATGGCTGCTGACCATTGTATCGTTCAATGGGATGCCATCATCCATCATTGAATGACACTTCTTTTGCACTCGTTCGAATCGGTTGCTTCGAAGAGGAAGAAGGAGGAAGGGACGATAGATATGCACGAACGCATAAGATTGTCCTTGGACGGGGAAGAGAATAGCATTTCGTGGACTCTGAATTTTGGAAAAGTTAGCATTCGATCCGAAGTTGGATTTAACGGCAATTGCTGTAGCCAATTGCTTAGAGATTAATATTGTGACACTGATGGTGAAAGAAAAGCGTTCGTGACTGTTATAGTTACTATTGTTTTGAGTGATTTTTATAAAGCTCAATTTTCCCTATTGGAGAAAAAAAAGGTATTTGCCCATTAGGCTTTTAAAAGGGTTTGGAAAAGAGGAGCATATAAACATAATGTCTGGTGTGTGAACAACTACATGCTATCGCTTTAGTTTTGCAGAATATTTTTTGATGCATTTTGCACTTTTTCGTTTTTCATCGAAAATCCAGTTGTACACTTTAAATTCAAAGAGAATGTTGTTTTACAAAATCGAAGAAGTTGTTTACTCTATCAAAGTTGTATAGTGGCCAATTAAAATTTACTCGCATTAAACTGTGCCAACGTGCACATAGTGTGATGTTTTTTAAAGCTATACATCTCGCCAGTAATCTTCTAGTAATGAACGTTTTTCATTTTCACCTCAAACGACTCAGTCAAAAATCAAATAAATGAATAAAAAACACACGCCAATCGCTCCCAGCTGCCTGCCTGCGTTCGTTCCCATTTTGATTGATTACATTTGCAAGATTACTTTGTGAGTTCTTTAGAACGCAACAAAATTCTTTGTAAATAAAATTCATTACTTTTNTTTTCATCTTTATTTGCATTTATTCGGCTGCTTTATTCTCTAAATGATGAAAACAAGTGGCATTCAATGGCTTAGCTAAGATTTTTTTCCAGAGGGGTGCAAAGAAATAGCTGAATTCTAGGATAGGTTTTCGATGTTTTTTTTTTCATCTCTTCCATCTCCGCACTTTTTTCCTCCAATTTTTTCTCCCTTCGCGCTATTTTCTCCCTCTCTTTGTCTTTCTTTTTCCTTTTCTTCCATCCTCCAAGGGAATGGAGGAGAAGGAGAGGTTCAGTAATATGGGGTTGATTGGATTGATAGTAGAGGTTCCGTGATTTTGTTTTGTTTATCTATCATTATCGCCATCTGTTGTTGGTCACGCAATCGTTCAACAACATTCACCACAATTCAAAATGTTTACAATTTACAGTTCGCAAAAGGGATTAGAGAACGAAACTTTGCAAAAGAAATATAGTCAAAAAAATTATTGCCTGCAGCTGTCTTCATCATAATCCAGCATCATCATATTAACGAAATAAACGGCATCACCAGAAATCAGGCATCAAAATATTTTGGGAAGAATTCACATTATAGAATCGAATTCTCGATCATTCACAGAATACAAAGTTTTTACAAAACAAACAACAGTTGTCCATCAGTTGCATATTTCATTTGAAGAAGAAAGACAGTGGATTGAAAACGAAAAAATTAATTCGAAAAAGTTTCAAACGAGTATAAAATTTCAGTGCCTCCATTACTGTTAATGCAATATTTGGTAAGTCGTATGACAAAAACACAAGGCACCACAACTCGACTACAGTGTGCAGCAGTGAATGAACCTGAAGATGCATCGTTTGATATCAGCTGGTATAAGGATGGTACTAAAATTGTACCATTCGGTCGAGTCAAGGTGAATACTTCGCGGATTTCGCATGATATGATCGAAAAGTTGATTTGAATGAATCAGTCGTAATCTAGTAATCTAGACTAGTATAGCGATTTCTAGTTAGCTAAAAAGAACTCCCAGTGAGATGGCTATTCAGTCTGAAACTTAAAACTTTTGAAATAATAATATTCTTGTTGGAATGCTTGAAATTCGAAAGATAATCTTTGCATAATAATCGGATTGAGTGCTGGATCGCAGATGAATTTGCATGAATGGTTTCATTTTTGAATGGGTTTATCAGCCTCACAAATGATCTGTGATGATTCGCCTTTGTTAAAAATAATTATGTTCATGATAGTGAATCTGCAAATGTTCATTTTTAGTTACTACCCGATGAGGGCTATTCGTCGCAAATAGTTGAAGACGAAGTTGGTGTGACATCGGTTGAGTTTTCAAAAGATTTACTCATTTCAAGTGTACAACAGAGTAACCAGGTGCGTTCAGTTCTACGAAGTTATGCCATATCCTCCTTGATTCAATTTTTGATGCGATTTACCGAGAAGTTCGCAAATTTCCATCAGTTTTTGGAAATTACTTCAGTTGAAGCTACTAATTGGTTTGCCCGAAGAACATGAAATAATGCAGCTGTCGAGTTGACGGGGTTGTTGTCATTCTGGTTGATTGATGATAAACGCGTGATTTAAAGGGTCTCTATCAGTGTATCGTGAAGAATTCGATCGGTGAAAAAACGGCAGTGGTCGGCCTGAATGTAGATGCTGATTTCGATTCGCGTATCACTGATCTCACTATTACTACTGATCATCAGAAGTTCGTTCTTTAGAGTCCTTTTTGAATGTTTGCGGTATATTTTAGAACTCCTTCGATACAGTATTACTTTGTTATCGTTGGTAATACTTCGTTCCAAGTTTTTTGTTATTGGACTACATTTTTTAATAAATTCGAACATCCAATACTACATACTACTCATATTCTACTTGATTACTTCCTACTGTATGCCACCATCGCCAGTTGCACACTAGGCCCCATAAAGGTAATTGGTGTTTGATGCGTCCAAAGAAGATGTCACCTTGAAGGTTTCAGAACTTGATTTGCTGTTCATTACGAATCCTTTAATATTTGTGTATAGCAATGCATCAGTTCTTTTATTCTTATTTTTTATCATTCATCTATGTGTGATCACTATACAATTACTGTGTCATCTGTTTGTAATCGAAAAAAATCGACCTTCAAAGGGAATCTAGAATCGAATTGTTGACTGTAGTGTGAAGTCGCTTTCATAAAGCGATTCTTTCATTCTCAACGCATTAACTCAACTTTTTTGCGTGCTATTATCTACGTCGGTGGGTTTTGTGTGAAACGAACCAATATGAACACTTTGTCCGAAGATGGCGGTCATTAGTATTGTTGATACTATTATTATTGTTATTATTAATCTTCAACAACACCACAAAAAACACCTCTAACATTCAATTATCCATTGAAAATGAGATTGTCTCGGAAAAAACGCTTTGCTAAAAAAGAAATTCATTTCAACCTCCCAAAAAAATCATCCCATAATCTCATCCATAAATTTCCATTTTCGGCACTTTTTTCCACTCGTTTTATCGTTTTCGTTGTTTTTTTTTCTTGAATTCTTTGTTCCGTGTCTTATGCGTTTCCCATTGTTTTTTTGTTTTGTTTTTTTGCAAATCAATTTTCCCAAGGGCACAACAATACTTATTACTTGCTTCATCTGATTTTGGGAACTAATTTCTTCTCACATTCACTCTTTTGTTCCGATGTGCGGCCATAAAATTGTATATATGAATTATGTTTCTGGTTTGTTAGTAGTTTTATATTTTTAACAAAGGGGTTTTTTTCTTAATATGTCATGATGGATTTGTTGTGTGTTTTATAAACTATCAATCGATGTGACTCTGAATATGAAATTTTTGCGATGCTGGGAGGAATGAAGCGAGGTTAATTACGATGCAATTGGGGTTCGAGAAATATTTGCAAACCTTATTCCTTACGGAACAATGTTAATTTGAGTTTTTAATGATTGAAATATTTTCATGAGATGTGCGAAGACATCCGTTATCAATTGTGATTTGTAGAGGAAAGAAATGTGATTAATGAAGTTTCGAATTTCAGTGCACAATTCGATCTCGAATGGAAACTGCCAATGAATGTTGATTTTGTTCAAGCACAGAGCTCTATATTTCTTCTCAATTATTATCTCGCGAATGGTGAATTGTCTTTTTTTTGACGGATGTTTATGAATTCAAAGTGTTCAATTTACCATCTTTTCGTTTGTGAAATTCATATTTTTCGGCTATTTTCTCACTATTCCATTCAACAACAATAATAATGCTTCTCATTAGATTGATAACAATACGTAATGGTAATAATAAGAAATCGTAATGAGAAAAATAAGAAGAAATCGTAATAATAAAATCGTAATCGTAATAACAAATATTTCTGCAAAATTGAAATTTCTATTGATGCTAATAATGAAAATTTGTGGATTTCAGGTGGAAGCGCTAATAACGTACCACTGCGTAACGTGCATTGCACAGCGGATAATCGATGTCGTGCAAAATGTTGCTCATCGAATTTTGCATTCCTTCCCAGACATAACTACACCTTTCAAATGTCAACTCTATTGACCATTGATAAAGTGGCCAAAATTAGTCCGCTATCAGACGCAGTCTCTGTGGTTTCGTGGGACGGAGGTAATTGTTGGCGCACTTATGGAATTACAGGGACATGTTGATACTGATAGAAATAGTGCTGATAACAACAGATTAAAAATGGCTGTAATAAGGGGAATGCTTGTTTCAATAATGGTACATCGATGATAATCGTGACCGGTCAATCTGCCTAAAGACAGTTTGCCTATTGGGCGAAATATCCATTAAAAAGCGTAAGTCAAGCAAACTGTCCGTTAGGCAAATTGTCCATTAGTCAAGCTGACTGTGAGGTAAACTGTCCGTTAGGCAAAGTGTCGTTAGGCAAAATGTCTATAAGCAGATTGACCGGGTACCATGATAATGATAGTATTTGTGTGACATTGGTGATGACAGTAATAAGAACAATAATGAAAATATGGATATTAACAGTGCAGTAAAATTAAGAATTGTTTCAGTTATGAGTCCATTAACCAGATAGTAGCGATTCAATAGAAACAGTAGTATTATTATCATTATCGGAGTTGTTTATGCATTAAAGAATGATTTCAGCAGCAAAGAAAGCATTGGATCTGTATATAAGTTCACCGAAAGAGAATACGATTCTGATCAGATGGAATCACCCACCTGAGAATATTTCAAATGGTATTGTTCAGAGGTACGTATGGTTGCGATCATTTCGTCGTTAATCAGTTCATTTGAGGAGAGTAGGGGTGAAATGATGACAATAATTTGGTTGTATGATTGATTATATTTTCAAATGATCACTTGAAAGATCGCCTAAATGAAAGTGTAAATTTGAAAACTTTTCTGGATGGTTTCGACAAATGAAATGTTGAATTCAGTTATTCGATCGATTACTACAAAGTGGCAAGTGTTGGTGGTAACGATGAGACATCACGACATCTTCGAACGGCCAGTCTGGATGTCACGTCGAATGAATTCACCGTCAACGGTTCGTGGGCATTACTTTTTTGAAGTGCATGTTATGCTGAGATAGCAGATCACATTCAAAACGTTGTCGTCGATTTTATGCGAATCTTGTAACGGTCAATCAAATCTGTGAGAATTTTAGCTGTTCAACCGGGAGAAACGTATCGTTTCCGTGTGATACCCGTAACTCGTTTCGGGTTTCCATCGAATATGATGCTGAAGTCGAATGCAAATTTCACCTTCATCGCCTACACAGCTGAAAGTGTTTCGAGCGCTCTCAAACCATCATTGGATGCACCTGTGCTGGACATTAAACAGGTTTGATTACTACTATAAAACTCGAGGCGATTGTTGACGATGGATCGTGAAAACGATGAATTCATAATGATGATGGCAATGGTCGCAGTTATGCTTGTAATAGTATTATCAGCAACAATAATTCATTTTTGAGTAGTATCATTGTGATTTTTGTCATGGTTCCGATGAAAAAAACTGTAAAAAAAGAAAAAGCTTTGAAGATTACAGAGCGATGTGTGCACACAGTGAGTTATGATAAGTTTAAAAAGATGAACGTTTCAGAACAATGAAAGTTCGCTGGAAATAATGTGGTCGAATAGCAGTGATGATAAGATGCTGGAGAATGATGAAGGCAATCAAGCAACAATTCTGTTGAAGTACGCAAAAGCAAGCGGTGGCCTGTTGCGCGAGAAAGCTGTTGAAGTTCCATACAGAAACTACCGATTAACGTTAAACGATCGCTTTGATGGAGTTTGTTTTGCCGTAAACTTTCGATAGAATTCCTTGAAAAATTTCACATTCCGGTGAAAAATTCTATCAAATTGCACAGCGGGTTTGATTTGACGGCGGAGAAAGCGTATTTTCCGAGATCGTGTGGTTGAATAGAGCTTATCTTCATTCAACTGATACGCATTCTCAACTCTTGATCATAGGTAACGAGTGGTGATAATTAGTAACATAACTTAATAATAATAATGACATTTTTCAACATAATAACATTTCAGAAACATTAACAAATAACATAGGAATAATATTAACATTAACATAGTAACATTAACATAAGATAATTAATAAAATTAACATTCATTTTCTTAAACTCTGAATGCGATAATCACAGATAACGACGAATGATAATAATGATAATGAATTTGAAGGGTTACGCGTATCAGTTCTGTGGTCGTCTCTATGTTGGTGCAGAATATGGTGCAGACTATTGCCGTATTTTTCGGATGTCACCAAAATCGTTGAACGATATTTTCGGCGATATCACGAGCCGTACTCAACTGCCCAAACCCGTTCGTTGTGAAAATGGTCGGTTTATGAGCACACATTGTATTTATAATCATTTGCAGAAGTGTGTGTAAGTGTGACGTTTGTATTGATTTGTGGACATTTGAACGAAGTAATCGATTTTATTTTTATATTTTGGTCTTGTTCATATCTAATTTACGGTTAAGGTTACAAGATGGCAGTTTTCTTTGAAATATTATTCGTATGTTCATTTAAACTTACAGTTTTCGTGAGCGCAGATGCTGCCAGTGCATTAATGAATAAATAATGATGATGTTAACGGTTAATAGTGATAATTTGATGATATTAATGGCAGTGTCAATAATGATGGTATTATCAATGATGATAATTTAACAGATGATAAAGGAGAGAGCGATTGCTACTGTGAACCGTCTCGTGAATTCGGTGATGCAATGCGGGTAATATGGAAATGGCCATCTGATGACTACAGTGCTGATGAATTCGTTGTTCATTACACACTGGATGAAAATAACATCGAAGAGGACGATCGAATGGTTATCACGTACGTTTCAACTTTCAATATTGAGGAGAGCACCTGAACTGTAATTCTGAAATTTTAACTAATCATCGTGTAAACGTATTCGCGTAACTCTAGACTGAAATCATTTTCAGTGATGAATTTTTTGCGGACTTGCCGAGTCTGAAATCAAGTACCACGTATCGTGTAATGATTGAGGCGCGCAATAAAGCTGGTGGTGTTGAAGGGCTGTGGTTCAATTGTACAACACCAACACGTAAGATTGTTTATGGGATGATTGTTTTGATTGGAGAGGAGTTATGGAAGAAATGTGCACGCATGAAATTTCAGAAGAAATTCTGATGACAGATTTGAAACATTCGTAAAGAAAACAATTTTCAGTGATGCAAATACCAGCACCAAGTGATGTCACATACACGAAACTGAACGAGACTACGCTTGAGGTTAAGTGGAAAGCAGTTGTAGCGAATCGACAGTGGAGCACACCCGTGGGCTATGTGATCCAGGTGCAGACTGCATCCGCACCAACATCGAATATTTTCGGTAAGTATTCTCGTCGAATTGCCATCATCAAGAAGACCGAGAGAAGTAGCATCCATATTCAAAGGATCGGATATTAGCAATAGTCTCCTCTTAACTCTTCCTAAGTTGAAGTTTGCCGAATTTTAGTTGATGGTATCAATACGTTACGATATTTGTTGACGGTTCGACCAAACCTTCTGTATACTGTACGGGTGGCGGCACGTTCAAGTAACGGCGAACTGGGTCATCGTTCACCACCGTATCTGTTGACAACCTCACGACATTCCGGCTCGTCTCGGGGTGGTGTTGATGAAGGGTCGAGAAGACGCGTGTTCTGGTCACGATCGAATCGAGAGGCGTTCCTGATTGGTGTGGTGGTTTTAGTCGGTCTTTTGACCCTTTGTTTTGCAGCAGTTTGTGCACATTTCAGGTTCGATATTTCATTCTATCAATTGTTGTGTTTCAAATTATTTATGTGATATTCGATTATCAATTCTTGATATTATCAATTCATCGTGTCATTTTGGATTCGTTGGTGGAAGCGATCGATTCTAATTGTGTGAAATATTCCACCTATTCACAATTCATCCACAACCGTGTATTTCAGGCTGAAACGACGAAAACTGCAGATGAGTCTTAGCAGTGCTGGTATTCACTCGATCAGGAGCACCACTAACTTTCCTTCGTCCACATTACGTTCGGTGATTTTTCGGATTATTTTCAGCTTCAGTTTTCAGACGGCTGCAAAATTTTAGCTTCAGTGCATCGTCCTTCCATTTTCAGTGACAAGGCTATTGAAATATTCAAAAATTTCCTCGATTTTTCAGTGTTTATTCGGTACTTGTGAAAGGTATTTCCAAAGAGTACACCTCAAAGAGAACGTTATTGTTCTCTTCATTAAACTGAAATTATTTCAGTATGAAATGGAGGGATTGCTGAGAGCGAGAGCATCGGAATGTGGTGGTGTTGGTAATAATAACAATCGAATTATAAGAAATAATCTCAATGGCATTTGCAACAACAGTAATAGTAATAATAATAATGGTGGTGGTCGTTGTGTGATGATCAACGCCACAAGCAATATCAATCACTCAACAAATAATATCAATCATGAAAATAATGCCCTCAGTGATAATATCGTCACAATCAATAATGCTAATAGCAACGATGCTAACACTGTACAAGAAAGTCAATTACTGTTCGATTCGGCACGTTCATCGTTGACCGAATGTAATATCTCAACGTCGTTGTTGATTGACAACGCGATAAATCTGGACACAAAAGGTGGTGAATTAGGGGCATTACCGAGTGGACGGGACAAATTTGAGAAGTTCGTTTTTGTGGATCTCTTTAAATGTTGAACAGTGATCATTTTAGGCAAGGCAATATATTTTTGGTGCTGATTTCTCAAATTGTCATTAGATGACGTATGTTTCGAGTGTTTTAAGTTTTGTGTCAGTTAGATTCATGTGATACGTTCATTTAATTCAATGGGAAGGAACATTTTCTGCACATGTTTTCGAATTGTGTGTCTGACAATTTTGACTGTTGTAGGATATTTAAAGTTTAGTTTGAGTTCAGGGAAAGGGTTTTCGAGTATTTGTTTTATATTTGCGTTGACTTTAGTAATAAGACTTGAATAAGTAAGTTCTGTTTTGGTTGAGAAAGTCTCGTTGTTCTTATGTGAATTTCCGCTTTGTGATAATGTTTTTCGTTCGATACTGGAAATTGAAGTAATTCGGCGTGTAATTCAGAGTGTTGAACGATGAGAAATTACTGAAACGATTACGTGAAGCCGGTCTAACGAGCACGTTTACACCGCGACAGCTCACAAGAATTGTATGTGTTTGTTGTTGATTTCGCTCCGTTAAGGAGACTTTCTTCTCCGAATTGGATTTACGATTTAGTCACTCCCATTATGATGCAATGAATTTCAGAAAGTATATTTCAGTCGTTCGATTTTGTGCTCAAAAATACAAATTTATGCTTTCTTCGTACAGAATTTACCTTTTGGATGTCAAATTTGTTCCATAATTTGCATGAATGATCTGATAAGTGATTTAACACTTTGTTGTTGTGATTTAACGAGACATTTTGAATTCAGAAAGAAAATTCTCTAAGTAATACATCGAACAATAATCGCAACAGAAACAAGACTGAACGTATGGCATTGTTTAGAGAGAAGGAACGAAAGTCGACAAAAAATCATTTAAATGATGCCAAAAAAAGTACGCGAAATGCGTCTTGTTCTCAAATGTGAGTTCATGAAAAGTTATCATTTTTGCTGTCTTTCAAATGATGCCCACATTCTTATTGCATTCTTATCGGTCGTAGGTCTTATTGAAATCTGCTTTATCAATATTAACGATTAAATAATGTTCTCATCTTAACCGAGAAAGAATCGAAGATAAATTAAATCATTTGGAATCTTCAAGAGTGCACCAAAACGTTCACGATCGCTCTCTAAAGAATTTTAATTTGCCCAAATCACCCGACATTGAATCAATCAGTATTTCAAGGCTTCTTTACTACTGAACTGATCAAAAAATAGTCAGTCATGCGAGATCATATTTTGAGCGATCATTTCGAATGTTTGCCTGTGATATGTGATCCATAAGCGATGCTTTTTCACTTCATTAAAGAAGTTTTGCAAAATTCAGACAAACCAACAAGGAATCATCAAGTCAAACTCGGCAGCAACCTCTAAATCGGCAAAGTGCTATAAGCAGCTGCAGCAGTTCGTATCCAGCTCACGGTCAGCAGCAACATCAGTCTCGAACGAGCACGATGTATTCGGGAAGTGGCGGTAGTACGGGTCAAGGCACTATCGCAAGTCGCTCGTCCACCGAGAGTGGCACTGGCGATTCGTTTACGGTCGTGCCGTCGTGTATCCTCTCGCGATTGGTCGATTTGCAATGGCCAATGAGCGGTGCGTACACGAACACCATACAACCGTACCCACACGGAGCACAGCTGGCGTCTTGCAGTCGTCACGTTAGCAAATCCAGTCGTTCACCAGCTTTCGTTCGTTCAAACAGTTTTCATGTCAGTTCTCACCCATTCTCGCCATTCTTAATTCGTTTCTGCCACCATCGATTGATTCTTCGAGTTCGTTTAGTTGATAGTAACAGTGGGGAAATTAAATTGCCAGAACTTCGTTTGTTACCAAAATTACGTGGATTACCTGGATTGGCCAGGCTATCAAACGTTTATAACGTTGCTGGCCACAATGCTCGCGTTTCCATGCGCACTGTTTTAGCCTCAATTTACGCCACCCCGCTGGCTAGGCGAGCAGGTCAACCGAACATAACCGTGTAATTAATTAGTTGCGTGAATACTTTGCATAATTAAACGCAGTCAAATACCAATTCAGTTACTCCAATAAAATAAATATTCCGCCGATCGCGCACTGCGATTGACGAAAGAACTACTCGATGTCCAAGTAATAATTAATCGTTACCAATATGTTCATTTGTTACTAATGTGACCAGAAATGTGAGACCACGATTGTTGAAAATAGTCTTCGGTCAGTGTTACCTTGTCAGGAATCTTCTATTTTCGGCTGTTCTAGAGGGAGGAGGAGATTCTGTGTTGTTTCTTGAGATAATCAATGATTATTTTACTGGAGAAGTGATTTTAGTTAGACGATTTACGTGAAGAACGATACTCTGGAAATAGTAATAGTCATTATCATCGTGGTGATATTAATAATGGCAACACCAATAATAACACTGATGCCAATTGCAATCAAACGACACCAATCGCATCTTCATATACAATACAATCACCCTATAATACAACATCTCTACAGTCATTGTGAGTTAGTCACGATTACATTGTTGGTTTATTTATTTATTTAGCATTCATTCATTCATAGCTCTTTTTATTCATCACGATTTTAGAGTTAGTGAACATTTCCATGATCTGTGTGCATTGCTTAAGTTTCAAATTTTATTTTCAATCCATCGACATTGATGAATTNTGATGAAAGTGAAAATAAGTGGTGGTTATCGAAGCCGTCAGGATCTGAGAGTGATTGAAAAAGTTGTATTATTAGCTGATCAGTTTCTTAGTCCTTTACATCATTATTGACGAAAATGTAGTTGTGTGATAGAGATATATGAACGTAACTCCTCAATAGTTCAGTGAGTTCGACTATACAAGAGTTTGTAAGGAAATTCACTTCTGTTGTTTATTTATTGTATGCATTAGACGAATCGTTAGCAGAAATCAGTAAACTTAAGATTTTCAACTGAACGAAGAAAATTTCTGTTGTGATATGCATGAAATTCGTCAAATTTTCAGAGTACCATATGAAGAAAGGAATGGAAATACGACATTATTATTGTGTGATCATGAATTATCAAATAATGGGTGCGAGAAGTCTCCACCGCGTGAAATAATCACTTTACAACATTATTATCACAGTACTAATAATAACACTAACAATGCAGCATCTTCATCAATGCCGAATCTAACAGATTCCGGTATTGTATTCGATGAACAACAACATCATCCTATCAACAGTCATCTGATCACTTGAATTTGTTTATCTCTACATACATATATCTTTAATCTTCATTGATTCAAACTGATTATCTATGCTATTAATTACATATGTTCCTATTTTGCTTCTCCTGATTAAATGGTTCAATAGGTACGGTCCTATTCCCTCCGCATCCGTTTTTCGGATTTAATCATATTCTTGATCATATCACTAACAAATCGGTTTCGATTTGGAGTGATGTCCGGAGTTTGAGGGATTGTGGTAATCGAGTGATTTATTTTGATACAACGGTAATTTTTTACCTAAGTTACATTATGATTTCTGTGGAGCCCAAAAATTTCACGTTTCTGATACTGATACATCCCGACTGAATAAAAGCAGAGCTAGCGATAAGGCAAAAGTTGTTTCGATTTGAATTTGCCCACACACTATATGTCATTTTATTATTTGCTTTTGTGTGTTTTACTCACATATACAGTTTACTGTCCAGTTTTTACTGTATAATACATTCTTGTTATTTGCTGATTCTCAACTTGTATATGTGTAAGTAAGTGTATTTACGTGTATTGTTATTTCTTATTCTCTTATTATTCGTTTGTGTCCCTCTCATCCAGATGAAACCTCTTCGTTTTGTACAGTAATTATCCGACTCATTTTTGTGTTGTACAATAATGCCACAGTGCACATCATCTTTCATGATTTGCAAACATCTCTTCGTATGATGAATTCAGCTAATCTATTGTCGCCTCTAAGCTCATATCGAATGTCGTCGCGATTGGAGTAGTATGAGCGTGATGGTGTACTGTTGTATTGTTTACATTTGTTTTTTGTTGAAAACTTCACTAAGACTGATAATTTGTTGATGTGTTTTGCGTTATTGCGTTTATGATTCCTGTTAACGTGAAATCCCGTTGAGTACGACGCTTCTTATTGATGATTTTTTTTGGAAGCTTCCTCGATTGACTGTCAGAAAACTACAATTTGTTACTGCTTATATATAGTGCACATTTTAACAGTTGTTTTAATCAGTTCATTTCTGTTGCAATTTCATAGTTCTTTTATATAGTATTGATCGTTTTCACTTTTTTTTTACTTTGGTCGAATTGATTAATTGTTTAATTGGAAATATCTCCTTTAGAACTGGAAAAATGATTGTATTGTTCATTATTTTCTCAGCATCCAGTTATTCTCACGTCGTTCCCACTAAAACAGTAATCTATTGTCGTTGTTCACCTTCACAAAACCACTACCTCGGTGTGATTCTCGCGAGTTGTTTCGTTCGCATATACTACGGTTTTGAAACTGCCAAACTACCGTCATCATCATCATCATCAAATAAGCGTTGTTCGGTTTTGTTGCATGTTTTTTGTTGGTTTTTTTGTGTCTTCGTTTTATGAAATCGCACATTTTTGCATCTTTTTTTGCACAAATACGATTTTAATCGTAAAATTTTCAATAATAATTTTCGATTAATGTCGTTTTGGTTTTCGAATGTTTCCACCTTTCACAGTGAATATTCTTGCAATATTTTGAAATTTGAAATATGCACTAAAGCTGCGAATTTTCTGAAATTTTTTTGGCTGTTAATCATGGAGTTTGTGCCGTAATAATATTTTCGAATTTGAATTGGATAGTTTAGTAAAATGCAAGAAAAAACACAGAAGGGGGGATACGCTAATCTAACTCAATTTTGAACCACATGAGTAAGGAAATTTTGATCCATCTCAACAAAAAATGCGATCATCATTTTGCTATATCATGCCGCAGCAGTTGTACTATTATAATATCATGCAATTGATATATTACTTACTGTATTTTCGTGATGTATTGATTTGTTCTCGATAAGCGATCATATGATGTGAACGAATCTCTCGTAATTATTCACCGTTTCAATTTTACTTTTTTGAATTCGGTTCATTTTTCGTTCTATATTCAATGGAACCTCTTTTCTTTAATCAAAAATTCTGCCTCATCTATTCAATAATCTTTACACTAGAAGAAATCTTTACAAGACGATCTGCATCGCTGTTGCTATTGTTTTTTCTTCTTTCTTCGCTTTTTTTTATTGCTCTCAATCAGAAACTGATCTTCTTTTCTTTTGATGTGCACGTTCTTTTTTCGTAGTTTTCATGTTATTCTGTTGATCTTCAGTCTAGTAGTCCTCTCTGAACCATTGAGCACTCTTTGGTCCATAGATAGCTTTTGCTCGAAGAGGATGAAACTCTTGCAAGTTAGATTTGCGGATAGAAATTGGTAGCATTTTTTGTATGTTTGGAAGGAATTCAAATCATGTCATAATGTTGCGGAATAATGGTAGTAGTAATAGTATTCATGCGCTAATTTTGTGCATTCTGCATTTTTTAGTTGGTGATGTGATAGTATTCTCAAACCTGAATTGTTCTAGATCGTCAGCTCTGATATTGAACACATAAAAAACCTCTTCTCTCATTCAACCATCCATCCAAACAAATATATTGTACATATGCGAAAATTTGTTATTTTTCTATTGTATTTATTAACTTCATCGTGAAAATTGTATTTTCTTTTTCCGTTTGTTTGTGAAAATTGAATTGTTCACATTTTTATGAAATGATAGCTGAAAATTATTATGGAATTATGGAGATTGATCCTTTTATTCTCGTGATCCGATGGGCATAGAGCTGAGGCGAGCTTCATTTCTTTGATGCGTTTGGATATATTTCGGATGTACGCAGAATCCATTTTCCGAATTCGTTTTGGCGAAGAATTTTTTGGCATTTGATTTTCAATATGGAAATTTATCACGTTTATTCCAATGCAGTAGTTTTAGATGATACCTCAAAAATTACCTAATCAATTTCAGCTATCCCAATAACTCACATTCTTCTCAGTATCTCATCTTTTATTTTAATCCAATTTAGTGATTTTACGTTTTGTCTTATTAGCGTATTTCTTCTTCTCGTGCTTCGTTGTTCAAAATTTTCCCACTTTCTTCATATCTTTAATTTTAATCTGGAGGAGTTTCCAAACACTGAATGTGTATCCGCTTCGAAATTTTACTCTCTTCTTATGATCGTTGAAACGTTGTGTTTCACCGCAATTCATGGCGCATCAAATACATTTCAACAACAATCTTTCAATTTTCTTTGAATTCTTGATGAGCTTTACGAAGATTTATCGTTTGATGTTATCGAATTGATGCTTACAATTGTCTGGAAATATGAGATGGTGGTGTTGGCTCTGGCCGAATGTTCGGAACGGATCACGTTAGCCAGCAGCAGAATCCGTTCAGAATGGCGGCGCGGCTATCTTTGGAGATCTCCTCTTCGATCTGATTCTGGTGGCGTTCTAGTCCCGAGCGCCAAGTTTTTGGAGAGGTGGGGGAAGAAATGGGGCTTAACGTCAAATCTCACGTCAAATAATTCATGACGATTTACAATAACGAATTTGGTCGGAAAAATTCCTCACGGGTTATAAACACTGAACTGATGATGCTATTTACCCAAAATACGTTACATCACTTGTATCCGTCGATTTTTCTCGTTTGCATTATTCAATTGTAATTTTTTGTCAAATTTTGTCAATCATTTTAATTTATTGTCAAAATTTGTCACTCATTTTAATTTTTTGTCAAAATGCATGCATTCATAGTTGATTTGATTTGTTCTAAATTGTGGTGACGTATTTTGGGTGTGTTTAATACTATTATTATTACATTGTACCTCAAACATCTGCTGGCGTTTTCATTAAATCTCAGCTTTTTTATTTGTTTTGTTTCAGTTTTGTTATATTTTGAAATGTATTTTTCTTTTAAATTTTACTGTACGTTTTTTATTTTAATATGTTGCCTGAAAGTTTTTTATGCCTCATCTACCTAAAAGTATATATGTATGTGTGTATTCGTATGTGTTGGTATATTAGGACGAGACAAAAGGTTTGTGGTAAGTAAGTAAGGGATTGAGTGTTGTTCTATTCATTTCAACCTATTTGGAGCAGGTATCAACTTGACTGGTACTGTTCGGTAGAGTTTATGGATAGGTAATGCTTGACGGGGCGCAAGTATTTGGAAATAACTAAAAGTGAGCAATATGTTTAACACGATGAGGCTACTTTCCAAAGTGAGTAATGATGAGGCTCCTCTCTGACCACATTAAGAGGCGTTATGTGAGAAAAGTTTACGAATAACGGTTGTTTCTGAAAATGAACTTTTTCGATTCGTGGTCCATGTGAAATTATGGGTGACCCGATAGTAGTTGAGTGTGTGTGTGTCATGTGGTTGGTTACGTTAATGTGTGCACATGAATGCTTCAATGTTCGATGAATATCTCACCCATCGTCAGCAGATTCATTGATGATTTACTCTTATTTCTGATCTTTTCGTTGAGTTCATTTTTCGTCAATTCGTTCATCTCAAAAAATTCTCATTCTTTTTTCATCATCTCTCGTTTCAATTCAAAAACAAAGTGTAATATTTGTGTGT